TAATTCTTTTAATATCGGGACCCTTGGGTACCCGAGGTATATCCCCACATATTATGTCTTGATCTAAAAATTCAAATTCTAGATCTGAATACTTACGCGGACTGGCTGAACATAATTTTACCCAAATATTTGTTATGCATCTTTGCCTCTGTTCTGGCACCTCCAAATAAAGTAAGAGCAACATTTTCTTTGGAAATAATTGGTAACCCCAATTCAGTGGCTAATGATTTCAAAATATACGATTTCTGGGAACCACAATCTAAGAGTACTCTAACATCTTTATGCTTTTTGACACCAGCTACTCTTACGCGTAAAGTCATTAAAGCTACGTCAGCGGTACAAGTTTGCCTGGCTGTAGCCGTATGTATGTTGTCTATTTCTGATTTTTCTGTAGGAAGTTCAGTTTCATTATTAATGTCCGGACACAAAATAACTGAGTGTGATTTACCACAAGCAAAACACCTAACAAACTGTTTACAGAACTTTGCCATATGATTTGGTTCCAAGCATTTTAAACAGCATTTTTTCTCCTTAACTTTAGAAATCCTTTCATTAAGAGATAATGAACGCGCATCGTAACAATTTTTACTATCATGCATTTTACCACAAAAAATACATGCATGTTCTCTGGTTGTAAGAAAACCTGTGGCAGTGGGAACATTTCCCTGTTTCTTAAATTTAAATTTACCTTTTGTTTCCCTCTTTGCTTTATCATGATATCCTTCTTTACGACTAACACCATCGAGTCCATTACGCGCCAATTTTAATCTCTCCTCACCCTCCACTTCAGACTTTAAAAATTTCATTAAGTTGGTAAAGGAGAAAGATCAGTTCCTTCAGGCTGGTTAAAGAGCGAACTCCTTTGCCACGCCTTTAAAACATCCTCTGTGAGACACGATTCCACCATCGGAAATGTGTTTTCGCTCGATTTAAGACCTAAAGACTCTAAGGCTCTCAACTCAACTGAGCTTCAATTTTATCATACAGTTTATCAAGAGGTAATTTATCCTTTTGATCTGCCTTCACATTAGAAACAATTAATTTAATTAGTAGTTCCCTAACATACACTTCTACTAATAATTCAGGTTTCCCAAAACGTTCCTTCAAAGCTAAAACAGCTTTATCATAATTTTCCGAAGTCACCGGATAGCTTTCAATGAATTCTTTAGCACGTGATCCGGGCTTCATACACTGAATCAAATAGGAAAATTTGTCACTTTCATATAAATCAGGGTCAGTGTGAATTTTCTCAAACTGCGACCAAAACGGTAACCAATTTATCAATTCCCCATCAAACTTCTTAAGTTCGATTTTCGGAAGTCTATACTGTTTAATCTTACTACAACAAATACCAGCACCATCATTTGGTCTTGTTTCTAAATTGATTTCATCTGAAAATTGCAATTTTTCATTAATTTGCCGAGTTAGTGTTATGAAATCATCAGAATACACCTCGCGACTTTCGATTTCTTTAGTAACATCATCCTCTAAAGTTTTCCCGTCTTAATTTTTCCATAATTATCTTCAGCTAACAAATCAAGAATTTTATCATCTACATTTTTTATATCTGAATATACATTTTGTAGTTTAGTAAGTTTATCTCGTACTAAATCTACAGAAAAATCTTCTTTTATTAATTCCGTTTTTAAAATATTAGCAGTTTTTGCAAAAGAAGTGCGTAAACCTGCCCATTTAAGTTTCAGAGCCTTTAAAGCTTCCATAGTTAACTTTCAACTGCTTTACAAAAAATAGTTTCGAATTTAAACTTAATTATACTTTAATACATCAAAAACTATCTATAACCATTAAAATAATTTTTTTAAGTTTATTTCTTAGAGTCCTGTCACGGGACGCCACTTTTTGTTATTGCCAAAACATAGTCTTATCATTAAATATCATTAAAATAAAAATACTTCCTTCACTCATCCCAGATACTGAGCAATCCAGAAAAACTAAAGACAAAACTTGCTCACTTACCTGGGTAGTGTGATGTTGAATCTGTAATAAAAACTCTAAGAAGTTGATTTATCTAATTATATTCTCTCTATACTACAAAATATATACATTTTTTAACAATTGTCGGGAAATTTTTCTGGCCCCGAAAGTTATTACACATCTTAATCAGTTCACGTCATGAGGTCGAAAGGGGAAAACCCTTGTTTTCTTCCTACTTCAATGACAGCCAACGCCATCTGTGTCTCGTACATCAAAATGAAGAGATTTGTTTTTAATATTTGTTAGATACAGCTAATCAGTTTCACAACAAATTTCAACTATGCGTAATGTATGCTTTACGCATGCGCACATTGAAAGAAATGTTTAATAAAGTAAACAAATAAATATAAAGTTTTTTTTTTTTTTTTTTGTAAATTTTGATACCCTTTAGATCATAATTGCTCTTTATTTCATAAATTACGGTTTCATATTTTTAATTTTAAAATTTCTGCATGCCATCTTACGAGATTTAAACTGATGATCTATAATCCGGAATTGCCGAAGTCCCGACAAGTCCGGCTTAAAGACTTTTTACTGTATTAATATTCTCATGAAATTTAATTGCTTTAAGAATCATTATTTGGCAATTGTAAAAAAAAGATATAAATACATTTCATTTTTAATCAAATTGGTTAACCAATTAATTAGTTGGATACATGCTTGCGAGTGTTAAGATTCTGGGAATAAGATTTCAATTTTGAAGGAAAAAAAAAACTTATTCATCATTTTTTATGATAAGCTGCATGTAGTGATTTGTTCATTTAGAAGTGTCAAATGTAAAAGGAAATAACCCTGCTCTGGCCAAAGGATTCCTGAAACAAACAAATGGAAAACTTTCAGTTTGTCTTAACTGCATATTCCTTTCTATATTTCCTTCCATATTTAAGGAACTTTCTGTGATTTTTCAAGCATAGGTCATGATTTTAATCCAGATAGAGGTTTATATTAATCAGGCAGTTTCTGAGTTGAATGACTTGGAATCTAAACAGGCATGTATGAACAACATTTTGTCAGTTCAAGTAATTCTTGTAGGAAGTTTAGGAACATCAACTTATAAACATTATAGGAATGTCAGCTAACAAATATTGATCGTCAAATTTTTATTTAGACAAGCAGAAAATCATTTTGCATAGAATAAAGTAGCTTAAGAAAAAATTTTTAGGATGGGATGTGGATGTTAAAAGGGAAGTGCTGTGTTTGACACTTTCATGTGGCCTCATGATGGTTTGGAAAGCAATAAAAGGATGAAATTGTAACTTTATACAATCACTTCGAAGGATATCTGTCATTTCAAAGCAAAACTTGAAATCGTTATAGAATGAATAGTATGAGTTTGAAGTATTGTATTGGATGTAGAAATACATGAATTTTTCTTTTATAAGCAAATTCATACAAAAAAAGATTTTGTTTTCTCAGCCAGTTATTGTCAATAGTCACAGTTTTGTCATCTTCCACACCATCTTATAAACTAAGTTTTAGCCAATGAATTTTCATTTAACTGATCTCAGAACTTGCATAGACAATTCGACACTCAATGACCTTATGGTGGTTAAACTCAGTGGACCTTCACTAATAAACTCTTAGCTACAAACAGCAATAGACTGTTGGTTTTTTTTAAGCAAAATTTCAAGATACATTAGCAGTGCAACCAAAAAGTGTCTGAAACATAACTTGGTTGAACATGATGCAGCCGAGAGACTGTATAAAATGTTAACAGTGCTGCAATTACCAGTACTAGTAAGTTAATATTTTGGTAGGGGGTGGGAAGAAGGCATTCTGCAACTGAAGAAGAAGGCTCTGTATTTAAACCTCAAAAACTAGTCCTTCAAATTTATGAATAATATGCTGATTTTTGTTGTTTAACTCCTCCAATAATCATTATTCAGTATTTTAACTCAGATTTAGATTTTGGATGTCTAAAGACACGTGCTGCTCACACTAGCGATTTTCAGAACAGAGATTAGATGAATGTCTATTAAACTAATCTCAATGAGACAAGTTCCTTTTTATAAATTGTTCACATTTATACACACTATTAGAATAACTCAAATAACCTTGATTTCATGTGTGAAGTGTGGTTTTTTGGAAAGCACACAAGTAAGTATTTCCAAATTCTGAGATATCCATTTCACTGAATTTTTCTTTTAGTCACATTCAGTGTTAATGTAATTTGGCAGGCAATTTTTAGAATCAGCTGAGAAAATATTTTTGGAAAGTGACTGTCTTAAGTATCCTTTATTGCACCTGAGGATGTATATACACATTGATATTGGATGGAATTCCAATTTTATTAATGTATTATAATTATATATTTTTGTAATTTTCTTGGGATGGACCTAGGGCCACAGAAAAATGAGACCAAAGCTATATGTGGCCTATGAGTTTGATGCCTGATCTAGATTATTAATTTCTGAGGTCTAATCTGAATCCTTAGAATGCAATATTAAAAATTTAGAGAACTTTATAAAAGTTATTAAAGCCTCTTAACTAATATGGCTAGGCCATATGTACAGATACAGAGATAAAAACCTGGTGAAGAAATTTACTGACATTTTGAAAGCCAGAGAGCAACAAGAGAAGGAGAGAAAGGCCATGGACAAGGTGGCATTGTGGTAGACAATGTGGAAAAGTGGTTAATATAGGATGTCATTTGGTGGAGGACTGGAACATCAGATGGGTCAGGATGGCAGAAGGTGAATGAAACAGTTTTGGCCAGAAATCTGCTGTAGATCGTAAGAAGAAGGCAATGTGTAGATTTTATTCTGTATCTTAAAATATTAATTTATATGCAAATAAGTAAATTTTTATATATCAAAATAAATATATAAAAATAGACAAAATGATGAATTGAACCAGTTTGTCAGTACAACGGATTCTTTATTCCGCTGGAAATTAGTTAATGTAATTCTTAATGAATTTGTTGCCTTTGTAAATATTTAAAACTGTTTCTAAGATGGTGGAAGGTGATAATATTCATATTTATTATCATTTTTTTTTTTCTCTAGATACTTGTTTGTGTTCTGGCCTTACTGAAGACCGATAAAGATTTGGAAGTCCGAAGATGTGCAGTGATGGTCATTACTCTCTTATTTCGAGGAATTGGAAATGATTTGCTTAAGGTAAAATTTTGATTGTTCAATAAATAATTATGATTTTTGTAAAGGGAAGGCAAAATTTTACAAACAGTGGCATATTTAATATAAAATGAAATTTCCTTTGATTAAATGTTTTGTTGCATTGACAGCTGAGAAAAAGGGCATCAACTGTGTGAGTTCTAATATGTAAATTTTAAGATCATTTTCAAATGATTTTTGTCATAATTTTATCAATTACAATAAGATAGCAAGATTAAATAAATTAAAGATAAATTCTATAGATTTATTAAATTTTGCCTTATGTATTATTATATAAAACATATGTGTCTATAAATATATATCATTTAAGGAAAAACTATATATAAAACAAAATTCTAACTCTAATATGCAATAGTCCTTAAATCAATTTAAAAAATAACATTTCATTGAATCCCATAAGCACAATTTTTTCCTACAGTTTTTTGCTATCTTCCTGGAAGCTTGAAAATTATTTTTCTTTTTTTAAAAAGAGCCATTAGATTTATTTCCAAAGAAATTGTCGAGATGTTGTTTGACAGTTTCCAAAGAAATAAATTCTAGCCCTTTCAGAGAATTCTGAAGTGACGTGAAGACATGAAAATCTGAGGGTAGCAAGGTCTAGTGAGATGCAAAACATCCCAGCTATACTCATAAGCCTTTGTATGACATTCATTGAAATGTCAGTCTATGCTTCTATCTATGCTGCATTGTCAAGGGAAGCCGAAGTAATGGGCACTGTGCTGATAGTCCACGTTACTGCAAATTTCAACACACCAAACGAACAGATGCCCATTTCCTGACTAATGGTCCGTGATGTGGCTGTAGATTTTGCAGGGCTGAACTCACAATGTCTGCCCTCTCAGGAGTTAGTCATAGGGGAGCATTGAGATCCTGCGTGCCATTTAGTATGACCCTCAGCAACACATTGATTTCATATTTGCATGGCAGGTTGGGTGTTAACCAGTGCGACGGGTGATATTACAGAACGCTAATTCACACTCTCGATAGGCAACGATCCTGCCTCTATTGAATTCTGACACTTGCTGGTAAGTATTTCATCTTCTTATTCGAGACATAACACCATATTCTATTCTGAGCAAACTCTGGCCTTACAAAGTGCTTTCTGAATGAGAAATCCACTACACAACTTTTCTTTTATGCAGTGCTTCAGATGTCATTTTCAGATTTTTCTTTTATGCAGTCTTCAGATGTCATTTTCAGATGTTTCTTTTATGCAGTCTTCAGATGTCTGCTTCCTGTGTCACCTAATGTAACTCATGTGTCATGTGTTGAAATATTAATCATTTGCTTATCCCAACCTCCTCTTCATGTCATTTTGACATTTGTTAGGTTATTCCTTCATGGTGTTGCAATTTTAATGGCCAGCAATGTATATATACAGAGTATAACAGAATCAATGGCCACACCTTTAAGTTATACCAGAATATGCAAATATAAATTATACTAGAATAATAATTTTTGTAGTGAAGTGCATAATGGAATGTGAAAACATAGTAAGTGCAATGAGCATGGAAAATTAAAAGTAATTTTAATCACAGATATATGAAAAAATTGTTCAAATGGGTGACCAGGAACAACAATATGTGCATATGATGATGAACATCATTTATGAGATGTAGATTTGTCACCAGAGTCAGCAACAGTATGTGATATGCTGAACTTTTACATTTACAAACATGTTTTAAGTGATGCAAAGCTTTATAATTTGGCATTTTTAAATTTAAAGAAATCAATCTTGTAAAAATTATAAATTTTTTTTACACTTTCCTCTGGATCCAATACTTATATTAAGAAAAATTTCCACATATTATTTTTAAAAAATGTTTGATTCCTGTGCAACAAAAATTGACCAAGATATTTGATATTAAAATCAAGAATCGTACTCGGGGGCCATTCATAAACTGAATAAACAAAATTTTTGCATTTGTACATAACTAAAAATAAAATATTGTTTAGGAAAAAGTTTCTGATATAAAGTTATGTAGTGATCGTCTAAAAAATACTTATTAATTTGATTTTTTCTGAAATGGAGATCTTATTCATGGAATCTCAGTAGAATTAATATTCTAGAAAACTTTGGCAGCCTTCAATATTGGCACTTAGCTGATTAATTGGCTAACCAATTTAATTAAAAATGAAAATATTTATACTTTAATGAATTTTTATAAGATTAAAAATTGATTCTAAACTTCATAAACTTTAAATAAATATAATACTTCTTAAACTGATAAAACTTCATGAGAATATTATGTATTTTTAGACTTTGTAAATTTATAAATTACTTGTATGAAAATTCTTTCAGAAAAGCAAATGTAACAAAATTGTAAATAAAGATGCTAGTAAATCACAAAAGAATATCTCCCCCCCCCCAATGGCAGATTGTGAACAGTTACAGAGTAAAACAGTACATTATCAAAATCTCAAAAGAATATCATTGAATGGCAATAATGGAGGAAAAATGAACCTCAAATAATGTATTTATTAACTAGCCCTTTAGTGCAAATTAAGAATGATGTCAAGTATTCCAAATTTTGAAATTATATATTGTGGTCAATCTTTCTTATGGGAATCAAAATTTTTGTATTTTATTTTCTACAATGAGTACACAATTTTCGTACATATAATTATAGAACTATAGGAACAGGTAAAAACTTTATTTTGCACTTTATGTAAAATTAAGTTTATTGAATTTAAAACTACAAAAACATGAATCTTTGCTTCACTTAAAACATTTTTTTCTTTCTTTTTTATGACCAGTGGTTGAGAAAATAAAGGCCGGGCACTGAGTATATACAAAAGTAAAATAAGAACAACAGTTGAAAGAGTGAATTGTGGGTAAAATTCATAGGCAAAGAAATAAGAAACAAAGAGTCAAAAGACGGGTTTTCAAAAAATCAGTAATGCTTGTATATTTATTCATATAGTATATGAACTCTAGGCCATCTGAAGCTAATAATAAATAGTTGTCCAATTTGAAATATATAAATCCTCAATATGGAACGTTTTTTAAAGATGTAGTATCAGGCTTGTTGGTCTTGTATGAAATGGTTAATTTGCTTAAAATAAATTGCTTAATAATAATTATACACTTTCAAACAGTTGCTGACAATTGTGCAGTTATAATACTTTAATAATGTAATATTACTTAAGAACACAATCAGCTGAGATATATTTCTAACATGTGTATGCAGAATTGGTGTAGCTAACATAACCAATGTTTCTATATCCAATGCTTGATAGATTAAAATAAAATACAGAAAAATTAGTTTGTAAATTCTAAAGTATAAATATTTTATTTTTACGACATAAGTTTTGTTGTAATAATGTTTAAATTTTAGGTGTTAGAAAAAGAAATAAAAAGCCTCTATATACAATTGAAAATTGTGTACAGCACAGAAGCTGATGATGTTTTGCGTCTCCATTCGCAGCTAGCATTGGAAGAAATAAATGTGGTGATGAAGGAACTCTTGTTAACAAAGCTGCCTTTAAAGAAAGAAATTCGAATTTTACAGTAACTGTAATGCAATGTTTTTGATGTGTTTAAAAATTTGTAATAAAAAACAAATTAAATGTGCAGTTTATTTTATTTATGCATTACAGACAAGTCTGTTTTTTACAAAAATGCTATAAAGCACAGAACTTAACATAACCCTTAGAGATTAAATATGTTATACATTTCTCAATCATAAGACTGGAACAAATATTGATAAAAAATTATTTAATACTTATATATACAAACATGCATCATATGTATTAAAAATTCAGGTAGTGTTTATCATAGTAAAATTCATAGTTTATTCACTGTTAAATAAAAAATATTAATATTTAATTATGCAATTAGTTTTACTAATCACTAGTATATGTATAGCTTCAAAAAACTGATTTTAATGTAAATAAAAAGTATAAAGATATATGAGTAACACATATTGCTTGAAATGTTTTTAATCAAGTAAAAATCTTTTTATAATTATGGAATTTTACCTTTTTATATATATGGAGGGGGACATTATTAAATTTTGATTTATTTTCCTATCAATTCAATTAACGTTTATTGTACCTTTAATAGTTCTCCACGTGAGGGCATTGAAAAACAGGACCCACATTATAGTTAATAAATAAATATTATTAATGATTTTATATATATTTTCAAAGCACTTTTTTCTAGTGGAGAAGTTTATTTGGTTATGCAGATTAAACCAATATTAAAAAAGAGCAAGTTTTAAATAAATAAAAGAATAAATAGAAATGAATAAATGATTTATTTTATGTAAGTAACTTATTTTTAACAGATGATCAAAATGTAATTACATAACATACTGTTACTACTACTATTATCATATCATCAAAGTAGGTTGTACTGTTACTACTACTAATACATTACTTGACTTCACACTTCTTTTTTTCTTACATACACTTCTTTTTTTCTTGTGTTTTTCTGTAGACAGTTTATATTACATTGATGGTGTGCAATTGTTATTTTCCCATTTTCTGCAAGAAAGGAGCAACTTTGTTTTACATAGGCTTAGTTAATCAGTAGTTGCCTGTGGTTGTGAGACTAATTCCATCAGACAAAAATGGGAGAAAATAATTCTTTACAAAACCTTTTGTCATATATCTTTCAAAATAATTTTGATCTTTGAGTTACCACAAGGGAAAAAAAATCATACTTTTTTTATAAGCTATAAATTTACAAAAAAAAAAAAATCATGCTATACCATTTTTATACATAATTCATCAAGTTCTGTGAATTTTAATTCTTTTTGATTAGCATTGAATATTTTCTTTTAAATTCATTTTCAGTTTTCTGATCCAAGATATTACAGGATGCTATCAACACATATTTTCTTTCCCCTCATTTATTTCAACTATGTATCTCCAAAGGAATGTTGATGTTATTGACAAAAACTTGCTTACAAGTTATAACTGGATAAAATATAAATATCTAAATATAATTTTAATTTTGAATAAAAGTAGGATAAATCTGGATTTTTTTTTTTTTTGGCTAAAATCGCTTGACATGGCAATAAAGTATTTCCCTAATCAAACTGGGATGTATGATTAATCCATTAATGGGACCCACCTTTGACAGAGTGGTTAAAGACTGTTAAATACTGGTAGTTCAGATCCATGTAAACAGGTATGATTTTCTCAATGTGTAATGTGAATATAAGCCATTTTCCCATAGAAAATCCTCCATGAAAGCATCTCTTCATTTAGGCAGGTAGCCCTGCTGTGCTTTGCTATATTCAAATAATCTAACCAGCCTAGTAATGATCAACATCATGGCACTTTAAATATTAATCAGTCAAATGACATTTTTGAGATTATTCCATTTATAAATTTTCTGCATTTAATAAGAATCGGTAATAAAGTAATGATTAAGTTCTGTTTGTGGCTAGTTGTAGCATATTTAATTAGTATTTTGTTCTTTTTTTAAAAGAAATTTTTAAATGCAGCAATTTTGCATATGGTAGTTATCCTTTGTTCACATTCTTTTTCAGTCAAAATAATTGAGGCTTGAAAACTTCTCAGTACCAACAGTTCCTTCCATGGTTTGATGGGATTAGTAAAATATAAAGCGTTAAATGTAGTATATACTGAAGTACTAGTTTTCAAACACTTAAGAAAAATTATCATGTGCATATAATCCTGTACTAAAATGAATTATTATAAGCCAGTGATAATATTTATCTGCTGCATCTATAATCAGGAAAACAAATTCACCTCAAGGGGACTTAATACCCCAAAATCGATGAAATTGCCAGTTTTTCAATTTTTTGCTAAAAATATACTTTAATACCTTTACTGAGAATTAATTTTAAAACAATCTGATGATTGTAAATAGTGTAAAATGGTTTTTAAAAATTCTGACAGCTCATTAAATACTGTACTCACATCAGTTATTATTTTCTTATACTTCATAATTGTCTCAGTTATTTATTAAAATTCTGTGCCAAAGAAGATGAATGTAATTAGATATGACTGCGACTATCAGCAAACGCTGTTTATATGCGTAATCAAGTAGAGTGAAGTTCTAAAAAAATTTTTTTTTCTGTTTTTTAACTTCCAGGATTGTTTTTTTCCCCCCTTACCGAGTTCAGCAAATATTTCTGTATATATATCAGCAATTCTCAACCGGTGGTACGGATACCACTGGTGTATACAAGAGAAAAATAAGTGGTACACAAAGAAACAAAGTATTTTTAACTAGAAAATTCAAAAATTAAATACACAAATATCCTGTTTAAGTTTTTTTTTTTTTTTTTTCCCCCCTAACATTCGCAAATTTGTGCGATCTGAGCTTTTATTTAAGGTCATTAGCCGCTATAGACTTTAGCAAAATAATCCGTTTTTCATAAATATTCTTTTAGCCACAGACATAACAAAATCTTTCATAAATGATGTTTTTAAAAGGAATAATAGAAATGAATGTCTATTTAATAGGAAATAAAAATAAGTTCCTGAAAAATGTATAATAGTATCTCATTAATTTCTTTTAGAGGTGATCAATTTATTAGCATGTGTAAACTTTATGTTGCCACCATTTTCAGGCTTATATTGCTCTAGTTTCAATTTGCTGTCTCTAATAGAAGGTATTTTGTCTTGTTGCTTTTGTATTCCTTACTTTTCTACGTGATTTGAGAATATTGTCTTTTTTTTTTTTTTTTTTTTTTTTTTTTTTTTGAAGAACTTGTAATATATTGTGCATTTAAATATTTGTGGGAAAAATAATAAAGCAAACCTAGATTTTCAAAAGTGAAAAATGACTAAGTGGAAAAGTGATGATTCATAGGTGATGGATCGAGGACAATCTACTAGCACTAAGAATATTGAAAAGAAAAGAAAAATTGTTTATAGAAAATATAAGTTATTTAGCATTTGGGTTTACTTGGAATGAAGATAAAATGGACCCTCAAACCTCAATGTGTTGTTTGCAGTGAACTATGAACCAATCAAAGTATGAAACCATAGTTTCATAAAAGACATCTTGAATCTAAGCATGCCAGTTTAAAAGATAAATCTGAAGAAAGAGATATCTGATATCAAGAGAAAATTTTCAGAGTTAAAAAGTAGTAAACAAGTAATGAAAGGTTTTGTTACTTCAAGCAAAAAAGCTGTAGACGCTAGTTACCTAGTAAGCCTAACAATTGCCAAGACTGGGCAGGCTCACACTGTTGAGTAAAATGTCATATTACCAACAGCTAAAGATATCATTTTAACATTATTCAATTAAAAACGGCTAATGAACTTAATAATATTCCATTATCAAATGATACAGTAAGTCGAGAAATTCATGAAATAGCAATTTCACTAAAAGAAACACTTATTCAAAAAATAAAATAACAGTAACCTCTTCATGATAGAGCAACTGCAAATGAAATTTTCAAAGTAATTGACAGTTTTTATGTCTGAGAAGGATATTCTGTAGAATATGCGCACTGCCGTATGCAGTGATGCTTAACAGGAAAACATTATGATGTTATTTCTCAAATGAAGGAAGTTGCAGCACCTGAAACTAAATTTACTCACTGCTCCATTCATCCTGGCTCAGTGACACTTAGCCGACAGGACATTTAGCCGACACGGACACTTAGCCGACAGGTCATTTAACTGACACAGACAGTTAGCCGACAAGGACACTTAGCTGACAGGTTATTTAGCCGACATGGACATTTAGCTGTCAAGACATTTAGTCAACAACTCCATAAGTTCAACAGGGCATTAAGCCGACAGTGATGTTTAGCTGACATGTACCCAATAATTATTTAAACTTACTATCAATTACCAAATTTCTCCATAAGTTCATTATTCGAAAAATTTAACTGATAGGTATCAGTTAATTTTGCGATTCTTAAAGATCCCATATATATTGCTATGTATTTGGAATTTAAATAGCTAATGTTAGTAGAATTATAAACTAAATTGTTTTATTCTCCGTGCAGTGCAGCGCGTGACGAATATTAAAGGAAAGCTAAGTCGAAAAATTAAAAATACAAAGCACGCGCATATGACATTTAATAAATAAATATGTCTTTTTGATTTCGAGAAAATACCAGAAAATTCGCATGCATTTAAAAAGCTTATATAAGCGGCATGAAAACCTCTCAGTTAGTTAGACAAAATATAAAAATGAAAATTATGAAATTAAAAAAATACAAAAAAAATTTAAAACCAAAAAACTTGAAAAGAATCAAAACTTAATTTTTCCTATCCCTAAACTTTCTCGAACTAATGTGGCTCCCTCTGTGCCAACATGATAACTATTTATGCATTTTTCCTTTTTCTGCTCACTACTTAGATATTTTTCTGATGTGGAAGTATATGGTTTTGAACCATAGGCACTTCGTAATTTATAATCATTGGCATTCAGTTAGTCAGTTAGTTGTTGTTTTAAGAGTTGTTTAGAAAAACTGCTCTTGTTGATTGTAACAAATTCACGGATTAGCTTTCTTTAGCTGTTTTGAATTAAGTTTTTGTTGAACGTTTGAGTAGTTAAAAGATAACTACTGTGAGATATTGTAATACTGTGCGAATATCTGAGGAAATTTAAGCATTTTGTTTTATTTGTCATGATA